TGTTTTTGAGTGAATTATATGCTGGCCGGTGTCCATCGGAAAATTCAATTTTCTTCCAATTTTTTATACGACGCTATATATGGTTTTATTTATTGTGTTATAAAGATTTTCTCGGTCAATTTCTCATTTATGTGTCATATGTACACCGAGTACACAAACACGCACGCATCACATGTTATTGGTCTTGACATCAATTTTGATCACATCGAATTTGTGCCTTAATAACCATGTAATATTGCCTTTGGTTATTGTTACGGCAACATTTTCGGTTTTGTGAAAATTCGCTTGAAATATGGCATCGAATAAATATAAATCAAATGAAATTATAATGCCGTCATCTTGCCGTGCAAAAATGATACAACAAACAACAATGAAAAAAGATGCATACGCTTCGGCGAAAATGTTTGTAAACGGTAGTGAATTGATTTGTATGTACCTCGCTTGCAAAGTACATCATTCACTTGGGGGGCGAGGGAGAAGATTAATGTGTGTAAAATGTAAATAACAATTGTACGGCTCTTAAAATTCAATGAATGTAACAGAATGTGACGATGCTCAAAAATTTTGCACAGAATTGTTTGTGTACGTTCCCATGTGTCCATGCTTTTTTCCTCCATCGATTGAATTCAACAACAATTCATTGTATAATTTGTTTTTCCTTTCGAACCATCCCACACACCAAACATTGACATACAAATGAAAAACTCTTCCCATTTACAATTGAATTAATTTTATATTGAATTTTTGCCATAGTGTGGGCCTGTTTTTATGTACAACCCAACACAATTTTATACCACTCCGAACCCACCCACACACACATCGAGCAAATGAATTTTAACGGCAAAAACTAACTAGCGATAACAATTAAAGCAAATTGAAACGGGCGGTGAATGAAGTTTTAACAAACCGAGGGCCAAAAGTGACAAACAACTCTCTTCCCGATCCATATATATATATGCAAAACGGATTCAAAAAATTGTGCATTCACACTCAATGTTTGAATATATGATTCATTTTACATGGAGTTATTTTAATTTCATTTAATAAAGTTTACAACTCGGAAAATCGACTGCAGAGGTGTGGATTTTCACACACAATCCCATGAATGTTGTCAAGTTTTATCAGTTTTATCTTCTTTTTTTTCGACGATAACATCTGCACATACATTCACAATGTAACATTTTGTTTGTTTTAATTTCTTGTTTGCCAATTAGTGCGGGTTTTCTCTTTCATGCTTTCATCAAAATTGTCTTTTCGCATGGCTTTTTGCTCTTTTCATTTTCCGCTCTGTATGCGTGGCAATTTCGAATTTACGATGTTTATTTTTTCCTTTCAACCTAAAACAAACTTTTCCGCCTTCGAGTTATTCGTCATTAAAATTTTACACGAAGATGTCGTTTCGGTAAAACGTCAAGTTCAATCGATTTCGGAAACGAACGATGGGGACACACGTGACTTTAACTTCGTAAGACAGTTTTAATTGGCTTTTGTAAAATTCATTGATTTCTGTTTGAAGATTTCTACCTATCATTTGAAGTGGATTTGGCTTTAAATCTCGATTTTTATCTTGACACATTTCATCCGCATATGTGTAGATGGAGAAAGACTAAGCGCCTAAATTGAGCGCCTGCCAATATGCCTTTTAGACACCTAATTCCAAAAACAATTTTCATTTGTTTTCTTTGAAATTTGTTACAGTTCTACACAGAAAGACAGTTATCACTTGCAATTTATAAATCGAATTCAAATTCTGCGATTGGCTCTTTCGACCATCTGTTTTGTGAAGAAAACTATATATGAAACTACATGTAAAATGACAATAAAAAAAAAATCTTTCTGTAAAAAATGTACTTTTGATTTTAAGGCAATTAGTGAATGAGTCAAGTAAGAGAGCACCGTCAGCGTATATTTAGTTCAGCTTGTTTGGTTTTAATTTCGGTCATCGGACTGAGCGTCGATACATGCTGACACAGCTAGTTGGTAAATGAATACAATACTCCATAGTCCGATCTTATTTGGGTTTTATAGTAACACAAGCCAATTGACCAATAAAAGTGTTTCAAATGGCAAAACCATAGCGTTATTCCTCCCCCTCATAATAATTTAACCAAATTCTCTCAACTTTTACGTAACATTTCACAAAGTATTACTCTGTTTTCTTCTATCATTAAATTTTATCAAATCAAAACATCTTAAGTAAGTCAATATTTTGCATACATCCAAATCACGCCATTCGAATCGTTTTATTTTTCATTCAATAAATTATCGTGCATTATAATTGCTTACAGATAGCACTGAGTATGCCTGCTTGGGGTACTCATATGAATTAGATGCTTTATTAGCTTTGCGTTTCGCTTTTATAGCTTTTATCACTGTAGAACAGTTATATATTTTGCTCAAACTACGCCGTGATGATTCGATTATAAACGTCGATCATCAATTTATCATTGAATCAATGTATTTGTAAGAATTCAAAATGCGACCAATTTTTTTTCTTTTTTTCCTTACTTTCAATTTCTTTTGAGTAATAAATGCATAGAAACACAACAGTGTATAAACGAACAATTTTGCTTTAATTAATTTTTTTCAATTAAAAAAATACGAACAAATGCTATAAGCCTGTGTTGACGTCACTAGGAGCTTTTTTATTGCCAAATAGAACACTTAGATAAATATAGATTGCATTCAACAAGCTATCGGAAAACGATAGACACATACATTTGTATTTATACATAATAACATATTTCGACGTAGTGCCGTGCGCACACCGCTAAGAACTGAAAAAAGACTTGGTGCCCGGTTCCTTTCCGTACGAAAACGAATACAGTAATAGCGCTTGCGTTGAAATATGCGCATAAATATAGCTTCGTGTTCAATCTCATCACATTCTTGCTATTATTCGCGCTTAGTTATAGAGTTGATATTTCAATTTTTGAAGTTTTGCTTTTCAGTCGACAGCGTATCAAGTTCACGAATTTTAAATCTATAGAAAACATATTTTGAATACAAATTTCGCATTTACTTCATTTTTTTATGAAATATTTAAAATGTGCCAAATAGCTTATTTAGAAAATGGTAATGTATATTTATTGGATTTGATAAAAAATGTGAATGATTAAAGATTATCGTTCTGATATTTTAAAGGTTGTGAAAAAGTTCAAACAATGCCAAATGATCCACCATCCAAGAAGATTTCTATGGATGAAGCCATTTCTAAAACAAGTGAGTGACAAACAAATGATAATATGACAATAGAAATGAAGAAATAACTGATATCAAATGAATTTGCTTTTCGATTCAGATTTTGGATGCTTCAATTATATCGTAATTGTGTTGAGTGGCATGATCCTATTTTCGGTGTTAATGGAAACAAGTGCAATTGCTTTCATACTTCCGGTTTCACAATGTGATTTAAATTTAACGACAAGTGAAAAGGGCATTTTGGCCGCTGCTTCTCTCTTCGGTACGATTTGTTCGTCTCATCTATGGGGCTTCCTGTCGGATACAAAAGGCAGGCGTGCTATTATTCAGCCAACATTATTTTTGGCATTCTTTTGTTCTATTTGCTCTTCATTGGTGCAAAACTTCTACATTCTTTCTACACTTCGTTTCCTCAATGGATTTTTGTAAGAAAAAGAGAATTTTTTTAGTTGAATACGATTGATTGAAGTATTTCGTTCAATTTTGAATAGTGTTTCTGGATTTTCTGCCACCATTTATGCATATTTGGGTGAATTTCACAATAATATCCAGAGAAATCGTGCTATTTTGGCGGCCTCAGTAATATTTGGAATTTCATGTATTTCGATACCATTGGCTGCCGGTAGTGTCATAAATCAAGACTGGCAGTTTTATGTTCCATTGCTTGACATTACGTACAAACCATGGCGTCTCTATTTCGTTGTATGCAGCTCGCCTGGTTTTATTGCAGCTCTGATACTAATCTTTTTACCAGAAAGTCCAAAATTTGTGCTTGGCCAAGGAAAAAGCACCGGCGCATATCAGATTCTACGAAAAATGCATCGATTGAATAATGGTCGAAAGGTGGAATTTGAAGTATTTGAAATCGACGAAGAAAAAGAGTCGATTGAGAATAGAAAACAGATGATGGACAACAAACAAAGTCGATATCCGTTGTTAAAATCAATTTGGACTCAAACTACACCACTTTTTAAACCGCCATATCTACGCTCCACTCTTTTGATGTGTGCTATACAATTTGGTATTTATTGGACAAATAGTGGATTTTTCATGTTTTTTGCTGAAATTCTAAACAAAATGGCAGTCAATTCGGGCAGTTCCATTGATCACAAGATGATGATGTGCGATATTATCAACATGAAATCGGTTAATAACACCGCAATTGAAATTCGGAGCACACAAAATCAAGTGCGTTTTGATTAGCAATCATTTTCTCTTTGATCACACTTTATAATACATAAGTTTGTCTTCAATAGGTTTGTTTTTCGAAGCTAGATCTGTCAACAGTGGAACAGGGAATTATTTTGGAAATTATATTCGCCTTTGGTCAAGTTATGGTGGGTCTGCTTATCAACAGAGTTGGAAAATTTCCACTCTTGTGTAAGTTTAATAGGCTACCACTTTGATTTCTTTCAAAATATTCCAAAATTAACGTTCGTTTCTTCAAATCAGTCTTCATTTTAGTTGTTAGTGGCTTAGGTGGAATTGGATGCATGCTAACCGATATTTCATATCTACAGCGGTATCTATTCATAGTTCATTTTACATGTGGAGTTGCTGGAAGTATTATAAATGCAGCAATTGTTGAAATATATCCCACGTCTTTGAGGTAGTTTTTTGCTAGAATTTATCACGAACAATGTGAGTGACATTTCATTTTGATTGACAGAGCAATGGCTATTTGCATTTCATTGATGATGTTTGGACGCTTGGGCGGTGTTGTTGGTACAAATGTAATCGCTTCATTATTGGAACGAAATTGCGAATCGGTGTTTTATTTATCAGGCGTAAATCTGATTGGTATGTAAAAATTGTTCAATTCAATACTTTTCGTTTGTTTTAACAATTTTTTTATTTTTTCTTCATAGTAATAGGTGTGCTAGCTTTTTTCATTCCAAATATTCATCAAAGAGTTTCAAAGTCCAGTTGAGCACCAAATGTTCCACTTTTACGTCTCATTCCATTTCCACCACCAAGCAAAATTTTATTCAAAAAAAATACGAAAATAACAGCAAAAAAACTCATCAATTGGCTGGAATACATTAAATCTTAGTTTCGATCTTTTTAATTTGTTATAATAACTCATCAATCTTCATTAAAATTGTAAATATATGTATTTATTTCAAAATAAATTTAATGATAATTTGATATGAAGCAAAATCAATATGAGATTAGCCACAAAAGCAATCTTCTGGTCGTGATTATGTGATCAACAAACTATTTTTGTAATCCCCATGTTCCATAATCAATTTTTTAGCATTTGTTTACACTGATATAGGTGCAAATCTAGCGAATAATTTTGTTGAATTTAAATTGTGATCAAAACAAAGATGATATTTATTTGGAATTCTATTGACGAAGTTTTGTACAAAAAAAAGCTTATCAGATTAGGCGTTGAGTGCAAGGAAATAATAATAATAAATTCACATGTCAAACGATTTAATTGTAACGACGTATTTGTCTTGTTTGTTACGTAAATCATGAAGGTTAGATCACATGGAGTGCATTATTTATAAAAAGATTAAGTGTGGGGGGTCTAATTTTATTTGCTCGCTTCATTTTTATACTCTTGATATTGATAAGAATGAAATGACATACAGGAGATTAATAGAGACTCGAGTCATAAAATGAGAGAACAGATAAGGAAAACATTTGATTTTTGATATTTAAACCATGTATAAATAATTCAAAGGTCTGTACTCTCCATCTATTGCAACGCATTCAATTCGCTACCATGTGCCTGATTTGATTAAGTCACACATTTGCTGAAGTGGTGTGTCTTTAGGCGTTTCTTTGTGCTTATTGACCAATTTCCTTACTTTTTTTATTATATCATCCAAAAACTGGATTCTGTCTGCATTTGGCGCTTTTCTTGCGATCAAGCCCGCATTTGTCACATCAATAAAATTAAATTGATTCGCTTAACTTGATTGTTGAACAGGTTTAAATTCTCGAATCGGTTTTCCATCATGTATGGGAGTTCTGAAGAAAAGAGTTAATTATGAAAGGGAAAAATTGAAATTCATTGAAACTGTCATTACCCGTATTTTACAAAATTATAATATAACGATTGCATGTTGTTCATCACTTGAAGAATTTCTGAAGAATCTGGGTCATGTTTGTTATTCGCTTTAATCTGTTTATAGTAATCGATTAATTTATTGCATCTGAATAAATAGCATAATTCGTCGGCGTGAGCGGCTGCCTTTATCTCATGTGGATTTATTTTCGTTGAAACGGAAAATCTAAAGAAAAAATAACATCAAAAACCATTTTTAAATTAATTTTGTGTCGAAAATACACTGACCGAGTGTAGAATGTATCTTTTTTGGAAATGGCAACATGCTGTTCCATCCATTTTTCCTGGAAATATGAATAGGTTATATCCGAATCCAGAATCAGTCGTTGGATAACACGTTCATGATCATTTGTTGCTTTTCCAAAATAATATTCTTTAATTTCATGCAAAACACCTTCAAGGTAATTAGGCTAAAAATCGAATAAAATGGTCATAATCAAGAGCAAAAAATTGCATATCTCGACTTACTTTTTTCCAAATTGTTGTATAATATCCGAAAATTGGCAAGCCAATGTGGAAATCTTTCAAAAAAGCATCAATTACTTGAGGTTTGGAATAATTTGATCCTCGGATGAAATATAGATGCTCCTAGATAAAGAATAATTGCGTGGAGTGAAGTACACAAAATCAGACAAAGAATATTATAAACATACATATTGAGCAGAGCCAAAGAGTGTGGCTTTGCTTATACTCTTTGTTTTTTGAAATGTTTTCATTGGGTCTTCAGTAAAAAATGGTTTTTTCGCATTTTTTTCTGGAAATAAAAAAAGTATGTAGAAGAAAAAACTGCAACCTTCGAAATGATCAGAAATTGAACAGAAAGTTAACTCAAATCATCCACTGGCTAGTGAGTCAAAATACGTTTCCAAAAATTAGCAATAATGTAATTAGTTGAAAAGATGTTCCTTACTTTCAACAATCGGAGTCCAAGGTGAAATAAACCCATTGATAGCTTGTTTATTAAAATTCAGGATATCTTCGACTTCCGCCTTTTGTAGAAAATCAATCAAGTTCTTAGTGTTTGGTTTGCCTGAATTGTGTTTTGCATAAAAGATCTCCATCAAACATCGATGGTCGCCAGTTTTAAAACTCTTTATATTATTTGATGTTCCACTTATGGTAATTTGTTGATTGAAATATTTTGACGACTCGGCATTAAGTAAGTGAAAACCATGACTTTGTGCACCTTAAGTGTTTTTAGAAAGTGAAAGATACTTTCATAACAATTTCGATTCGTTAAAGTATTTTATTATTTTTACCTGACGACACACCAAACATGGTAATGCGTTTTTTGTCACCTCCAAAAGCTTCGATATTTTCGTGAATCCATTTCATAGCCATTTGCTGATCTTTCAATGCCATATTACCGGAGTATTCGGGAGTTCCCAATGACAAAAATCCAAATATTCCAAGACGATAGTTTACAGTTACAAGGATTATATCATGTTCGTTTGCAAAATCCGGACCATAAAACCGATCTTCCCCAGATCCTACAGCAAATAATCCTCCATGTATTATAAATATTACCGGTAAATTTTCTTTCTCATTAATCAGCGCTAAAATGATTTTTTTGAAAATGAATTCGAATGTTAAGTCAACTGTATTAATGAAGGACGAGTCAGAAGCCTCACCTGGGACAAAAATGTTAAGAAACAGACAATTTTCTGATGTTGCAGAAAATATTAAGAATTTTTGAGCACACCGATTTCCATATTCAAATGCATCAAGCGGACTACTCCACGCTTCTACTGGTTCGGGTGGCTAAGAAATTTTTTTTTATTAAATATGATATAAATGGTATAAAATTCTTTAAAAAGTGACATTTTCTCTGAGTGATCCAGTTGATATAATCTTATCTTAAATTCATACCTTGAACCTAAGCTCACCGACCGGGGGCTTTGCATATGGAATTCCCTTAAAAGAATAAAATGGTTTCTCGAGCCAAACTGTTTTTTCAAGCTGACCTTTTACCGGGCCACTTTTGGTTGTTACTACTTTGTATTGATCTTGACCATTAACTATTACCAAAAAACCGATACACATGGAGAATATGTCAAATCGATATATTTCAAGTAAAAAAATTGGAACTTTTGCAAATATCCAATAATAATTAGAGTTGAATTCGAATGATAAAGTCCAACTGATGGTTATTCAGCTTCAGTTAACACTTTTATACGCAAAAATAAATAAAAAATAATAATAACAATTTTTCATAGAAATATATCATGGTTCGATTACAGATGTTTGCTTAGATCTTCCAAATTCCACGATAGTTCGCTACAGTTTCTGCTTATCGTGTAGTCGAGTGTATTGAGATGTTTTACGTACAATATTAGTGAAAATTGTACATACAGTGCTCTCAGTATGTGTTGCCACAATACTACTTCTTTCCACGTTCGATTTTTTACATGTATTTTTAATGTTAAAAATATATGCACATGTTCTAGAAATACTTATTCGGTCTTTATCATATTTGTCGAGAAACAATGATATTTTTGTTGTTTAAATCACAGCGTAAAGGTTAAATATTGATATTATCAATTTGATACGATCTACATATACACATAAATACATTCACACGTAGGCATACACATATAGATATGTCATAGATGTTTGTTCAAATTCATATTTGCCAATTAGTGCGGCTTTCGTACATTTATTCAAATTGACATTTTCCTTTTCGGTTTAAATTTTAAGCAAATTCAAATAAAAGATGATAAAATATTTACCTAAAACAGACTTTTCCATCTTCAACTTGTACTTCATTAAAATTGTAGGAGAGAATGAAATTTCAACGACTTGAGTCTTTTCAACAAAACAAGGTTCAATCGATTTTGAAAGCGAATGATGAAGATACAAGCGCCTTTAACTTTGTTAGACAGTTTTAATTGGCTTTTGTAAAATTCATTGATTTCTGTTCGAGATGCCCTCTTAATAAAAGACTCCTATAGATAGACATATGCTTGAAGTGGATTTGACTTTAAAATAAGTCGTGGTTGATCCGTATGTGCGTGTATATGAGAAAAGACGATGCTCCCAGATTGATTTATTGCTGTCACTCATAAATGGCTTTCATACCACTAATTCTAACAACAATTTCCATTTATTTTCTTTGCAATATGTTACACAGGCAGACAGTCATCATTGGCAATTTATCAATCGAATTCTATTTTTTGAGATTGAATCATTTGACCGTGTCATGCAATTTCGTCTAGGCATTTATTTAGAGGAGAAGATGTGAAATGGCAAAAGCTAGATCAAAGAAATGACCTTTTCCACTCGAAATATTCCACCACAAAGACACAAAGCCAATGAAAATCGCAATGGGTGTTGTATATCACTGCAAATCAAATATATATATATATGTGTAATCTATTTCCATTTGAGTTAATATTGTGCGAGATATATGTGCGACATGGATTTTTGATGTGGAAAATTGCGCCAATTTATACGCCCAAAAGGTTCCGTTCAATCTCTATCTCGTTCGCTCTCTTTCGAAATGGTTTTTCGAATTTGAATATTTGATTTTAATTCAAATTCAAAATTGCCATCGTATCGATGCATAAATCTTTCTATTTCATTTCACCAAAATCGAGCCAATTACCATGCGAACTGTGAATTTGGAAAGAGATACTTTTTTTGTATACATGCATGTATTGAATGTTTGGAAGTGCGACAACGACTATTGAAGTCAACAGTTAAATGGAATCGATTTTGAAAATAAAAGAGATCCTCTTTATTGCCACTAATATAAACTTATGCGTCCATTTGGATTCAAATGAACCTTTAGTCGGGAAAAACAACAACAATGGGGCAAAAATCTGTGCGATAGATATAAAGTAGAAGATGGTGAAGAAATTGAGAGAAAGAGGTACAGAGGGGGAGACAATTCAAGCTAATTTAAGTTGAGACACTCTCTTTTGCAGACGATAAAAGATCGGTTCGTTCGTTTTTGCCCATAAAATCTCTTTTTAATTCCCTCGTGATGTCACACGTAAATGCTATTTCACACCAATTCGTCGGGCACATTTAATTGTATCATCTAAATGGATGAGCATTGCGCTAGACGAAATAACTTTGGCCATAGGTATGGTGTGCAGTTGCGTTTTAAGCTATGGGCTTTTTTCTACACGCCATTTAATATGAAAACAATGGAACACACATTCCGTCAAAACAGCATAGTTAAGCTCGTTAAATGCATAATCAATGCGAATCCCCGACAAGCATTCCGAGAACGAAACTTAAAGCGAAAGAGAATAGGAGAAAAAAAAGACTCTTCAGACTCAAAGCGGCGTCGATATTGACAGTACAAAGACCTATTATACCAAAAAAAAAATTTCGGCGCGTATGGAAAAACTGCGATGATTGTTACAATATATTCGCCGGTCATTTATTATATTATTATTGTTCTTTGGTGCTTATTTTTCCACGACATCGTTAAAGCGATCCGGTTGTATGTGCGTACGTGATTCTGTTATTTTTTTGTTACACTAATAGGTCGTTCCGTGCAATATGTGTGATGAACATTTGGAAAAAATAACGAGAGAGAGAGAGAGAGTGAAAGAAATGAATAGGCGATGGTCATCAAATGAATAGGCAAAAAATAAAACCGATGATGTAGATGTTATTACGACGAAAATACGTTATGTCGACTAGAACGAAAATGAAATTAGAAACACTTCTACTGAATGATATAGTGTTACATAGTAAGCTATAATAGCACGTACCTCGAGTTATGGCCCCACAAATAAAAATGATTGTAATTGTAGCCAGAGTACGCACAATGATGCAACTGAGATTTTTATTTCATATCCGAATTGGTGTTGGCGATATATTCTATACACACCAGCCCAATGTTTGCCAATCAACAGCAAAAATGCCATGGCAAACAGAAGACTCAATCTATATTTTTTGCGTTTCGGTTCGTTCAATTTATTCAAATGATGTCGACGTGCGATTCGATACATTTAATATTTGGCATTACATTCGAATTCGACCTACGTCGCTTGAATTGCGATTGAATGACTGAGTGTTTTTGTGTTGAATGTGTTCAAAAGAAAATCCCATGAAAATTAGTGAAAGCTTTTACTTGATAATTTTCCCCCATTTTATGCTCATTATCAATGCAAAGATTTTAGCATTTCAATAGAAAGTCAGAAAACAAAGACGAGAAAGCTTTGTTAAACAACCGCATATTCAACCATAAATCTTGAATATAGAAAAAATGCCTGTGCAATTTAATTGGTTTCGCTCTCTATCTCTCACACTCTCTGCCTTTCCATTTCCCATGAAATGTTACAGTGTCTGCATTTTTTCGCCCATCTAACCTAACGATATACTTCATCAACGTTGAGGTTTCAAAGGGAGCTTGAAACAAATGAAATCAAATATAATGCAGAACACACACAGCATGAAAACCTTCAAACGAATTTCACTTTTATCGTAGGTTGGATTTAACCATTCAACACGTAGTAACGCTTTATAGCATTTTCTTGGGAATTAATTTCAATGAAACAGAAAAAAAGTACGACATGGGTTGCACAAAATGAAATTAGATTACAAAGAAAAACACACTCCAAAAGTGAATGGAGGTGAATAATGCAGTAGCGCTTCAAGTGCACACTTCGACAAAAATACGACGTAAGAGTAAGCACAGCACTTACTGCAGCCGGACTAGAGTGGCTATAAAATTTTATGTTTTAAATAGAATAGAGAAAATTTCAAAAATGTTCCTAATACATTTTGTTGCTAGAGGTCTTCTTTTTTTACTTTCACAATAACTTTTAAAGAATTTCTTTTATTCATTCCCCGACACACAAGAAAGAAAAAATATTGTATATGAACCACTCTCCGATTTAATGAAATCTGTGCAGAAACTTTTCACATTCAATCTTTTGAAGGTATTTTTGTTTCATGAATTTTCATTCTGTCGAATACAGTGTACGTATTGTACAGCTGCAGCTTAATTTTCCCAACTCATTAATTTCAACCACAACCGACAAACACAATGCGCAATCGAATTATTGCACATCAAAATGTGGTTTAGGTAAATTGAATTTAATAGAAAATCGTTGCCATGGGAATTTGTAGCGAACGTTTGATACCGCATTAAATTATTGTTGTTATTAATATACATAAACTGCAATTGCATTCATCCCTTCATCCGGTGCTTGCTATTTGCAAAGCGAATCGAGTGTGTCTCTCTTTTTCTCGTCCTCCTCCTCCCTTTCTCTCTGTATAGGAGTCATAACCCTTTTGGTTATTCGATGTGTCTACAGGTAGAGACTTTATCCTTATACCAATAATAAGACCCTGGAATGCACATGATTGGAGCTACAAAATATGCATTCATATGAAATGTAGTCCTTTTTTCCAAGAATTTCGTTCAAAATTGAAGAGCAATCTCAGAGAGTGTTCAACGCAGGCATACTATATACGGAGCACATTCCCAAAATGGAAAAAATAATTTTAATATAAATTCCCTGGAGAGAGCAAAAACAAACTAGAAAAGAATCGAACAAATAGCGGAAACGAGAGAGAGGTATATTTGTGTGAGTGTAAATGGCATAGGGATACGAAGAGAAAATTGTGTTCAACTCTATTATTCAAGGGCGTTTCAGAGTTTGAACAAAAAAAATATCTTTTTTTAGCTATTTTGTACTTTCATGGACTGGGACTTCCCCGCGCGCATCCACTCGATCCCTTCAATTTTAAATTGAATTTCAGATTTTTTTTTATGCCTCGCAATACTATATTGTGATTGCGTGCGGATGTGAGAGAGAAACACATTTCGCATTGCAATTTATGTTCTAATTTCACATTTTGCCATACCTGTCACCATGGAGGTGTGAGATTCAATTTTAATATTCAATGAAACGCACATACACCATGTTCATTGATGCGGAAACTTATGCACGGCGCGAAATAAAACAAAAAAAAAACACATTTCATTTTGATGGAAATCGTTAAACTGCGTTATTCAAAATTAGATTTTGAAATGTTTCCTGCACATTCTCGAGATGGAAATGAGTCATTCGGTCGAAGTGGTCAACCAATTTATTCACAAGATGATGGCCATTCGCATATAATACAAGAGAATAGAAAAAAATTGTACTCAAAAGATTAT